ATTTTGGGGGGGGCGGGGGGTGTGTGTAAGAAAGGAAGGAAGAAATTGCAGAAAGGACTAGCTAGAGACCTTCTCTGCATTCTGCAAGAAAAAAGGGAACCCAAACATGATTTTTGAAAGGTAAGCACATTAGTTTTCAACTTCACCTCCACTGACCTTGTTTTATGGATCAGAGACATTTCAAGCACTGTTCACTACCAGCAGACTACAAATTTTTTCTCAGATAATCATATTTGTATGACTAGTTTAAGGCCCAACTCACAGGCCAAATGAATATCGTGAAGAAACTGAGATAAAAAAACTACCGTTTTTTCGGAGATCTCCTTTACATATGAAAGTATAACAAGCTGGTCACAGAGAGGTGCAAGTCCACTGACGTAGAATTCAGTGTCAAATTGGAAAACTGAAATACAGGAAATAAAAACAGACTTAAAAACATGAATGTGTATGAACTACTACCTAAGAAAAACTCACTGATTTTTAGAGACAATCAACAGCATACAGCACCACTTTAGAGAGCTCAAGACTTAACACATATAGCAAATCCAGAGATTTCCCCATTGGATCAGATGAAGATCTACATTTAACAGATTAAATTACATTAAAGCTTGCAAAAGGAAATGTTTGTGCTCCAGGATATGTTAGAGATTGAACATTTGAAATGAAGGTGCAGTCTGATTTTCAGTAATCACATTGAAAAAGGAAGCAAAACAAAAATCACACTCAATAAAACAAGCAATAAGTAGTACAACTTCACTGGTTTGCATATTCACAGCATGTTCATGTGGCCATAAGAGAATTGCACATGCTGCATCTATTGGTATACAGGAAAACACAGAGATCATTATTTATTTATCATCACTTTAAACATCACAGAATATTTTACAGATATACTCATTACAAAGACAACACAGTTCATAGTATCTTTTCCTGCTCATTAAACTGAAAACATAATTTTCTGAAATTGGTCTTGAAATCGAGATAGTTACATGAGATTATTTCAAGAAAGAAAAACAGAGTGCTGAACTGTATTTACAAGAAGACTTAATAAATGAGACCTCTGCCACAGAAACAGCTCTTTGTTTTTATTCTGCTGGATTTACAATGCACCACTTTTTGTGAGCTCCTCTCTCATGGGGACAAAAACAAGGATCTTCGAAGTGCTTACATTAGCCAGCCTTGTAACTATAAGCTTTTAAAAAAGCATCAGATACTTCATTATTTTCTCCCAAAACATGGTTTTAGGAGAATCTAAGCATAAGTAAGAAACAAAAAGTTTCCTTCCTTACTGTTTAGCATATTACACTACTAATATATATATATATAATTTATTTATTTATTTATTTGTTTGTTTATTTTATTTTCAACTAAAATTTACTAGCAAGACAAACAGAAAATACAGTACAATGGCATTAAAAATAAAGCTGATTTTCTTTAGCTAAGATAATAAGAAGGAACAGGAGAAATAACTGTCCTCCCACAAAAGGGAAAAAATACAATGAAACAGAGTATATATTTGACACCTGTCTCTCTACAAACAACCAAGCACTGTTTTTCTTTTAATGACTGCTGACACTTTGGCATCACTGAAGGACCACATTACAGCACAAGGGTAGAGCACTCTATCCATTCACGGAGAAAAGGTTCACATGTGTAACCATGTACATAATTATCTTGTTCTAGCCTACGAGACTGATGAGATTACTTTGATTGTGTCACATGTTGTTCTCAGTGATGATTTTAAACAAATCAGTTCAAAACCAACTACATACCTTATTCTCAGTTTAAAATTTAGTATTTAGCATTTTAAAATAATATGGAAGGCAGGATTAAAAACATGGAAGAGAAAAAACATGGAAAAGAAAAAACAAAGTGAAATCCATAATACTATCAAAGAAACTTTAAATTCAGCTTTATAGAAGGGCCAGGAGAACGCTCTCAGAGGCATATAAAATGTGGTTTGTATTTGAAGAGGAAAACAGCAAGGTGAATTATCATTTATAATGACTGTAGAAACAGCTTTAAAATCCATGTGTGTTTCTTTGTCTTATACTAGAACTTAAGTCCCTTTTGCCAGTGAAAATGCTTGTAATACCCAATGTAATGGTGTATTTAAGATCAAGCAGAAGTACTGATCTGTGAAACATAAATAAACAAATAAAAATCACCACTTCAAGTTTGGTTTTTGAATAGAATATAGTTTCCTTGGTTTCACTATCAGCTTTCTCTTATCTCAACTTTCTCAAGAGGCGTTGTTGAAACACAATGCTCTAGCTCTGCAGCTACAGCCTTGAACAAAGAATAACTGGCATAGACAGTGCTTCTTGACCTGATAAAAACCTTTCATGCTGCTAATCAAAAAAGTCCTATTGAAAAAAGAAGATGGAAGTAACAGCTGCACAGAACAATAATAGGTTAAATTGACTTATTGTCTGGACACTGAGTTGTGATCAAGGAGGAAAAGAAATCCAACATAAAGGCAATGCAGAAATGCTGTTAATTTCAAAAGGATCCAACATAATTAAAACAAATGTAGTATTGAAGTGAATGGAAATGACTGAGGTATGGCCATGTATCATACATGTTTATGCCTGTCATAAAAGAAGATAGAAGATAGGCTGACAGTGGATCTACTCCATGTTCAGCATTTATGTACAGACGTCAAATAAATTACCTGGAAGCAAAATGAAGAAACCTGTAAATCTCTTCTGCTGCTCATTAAATGAAATGTATTAAATATACCAAAATACAGAAATGAAATTATATATGCTACAATAGTTACCTAAACTGCATAAAGCCACTTTTTCTGGGATTTAAAGATCCATGCGTACATGACAAACTGAAACTAAAAGGAGCCTATATTGTTTAGTCAAACCTCTAAAAGCAGCCCCTGCTTTGACATAGCAGATTTTGAAGAGTAAAACTTAGGCTACACTCAGAGGGTTTTACCTCTGATTTCACCTAAAAGCACTGGTGGTGAAGATACCACCTTGAGAACTCTTAAGGGCATGGTACACTGTGACTTATAACAATGAATACAAATTTTGCAGATGTTTTTAGTGAGCTAGGTAATTTATGCAAACCAAAACACAATACAAAATGGCATGATTTGATTAGCTATTATTTTGTGCATGGAGTTGCAATTAACTTAAAGTATAACTTTTTTTTTCCTGACAGTATGTGAATTCAGTTCCAACTAGAGGGAAAGAAAAGGCCCCACGTAAGTATCACTTAAGCTACAAAGCTGATTTTCTGAAAAACTCTTTTTTTCCACTGAACCAAGAAAACCTTGCTAACCAACAGGAAAACTATGCAGTCTTGAAGAATTTTGGGGCTTAGAGATTCTGAGGTTTGATGACAAAGAAGTCAAAATCTTGAAGAATTTTGACTCATTTTATGAAGCAATTTATAAATTATAGGTTTGGCTTGTGGCAAAACAGATGAACGAAAGTCTAAGCAGAATCAACTGTATAATTATGTTTGGGTTTTTCTTCTTTTTTTGGCTTCTCAGAGTATAGCGGACTTGCTTCAATAAAATGTTTGCATAAATCACCTTATGAAGTAAATTTCCTGATCATCACATTCATCAATTAAGCCTTACATTCCGTCTACATAAAGAGAAATATGTCGGTACATTAGATCCCATTAATCTCACTTTACAAACAAGAAAATAAATATTCCTATGTATACAGATTGAAATGTGCAATCTCAATGCATGATGCTAACTTGCCATGCAGGTGTGAAGCTACTCCCTTTTAAAACACACAGATGTGTTGTTACAAGCATAGCCTCGAAACATGTAATTTTTAAATCAGAAATCTGTTTTGTGGGAAATTTGGTAGAATGCAAAGGGAGACAAGTATTCAAGACACATTGCTGCCTGGCTGGTACCTGGAATTAAGCTGAGATTCCTCAGATAATATCTGGACAAAAATAAATTGAATAGAAATTCTCTAATTAACTTGAAGTCTTTTACATATTTCTGGTGTTAATCTCTATTTTCTGCTGTCATTAACAACGTGAGTAACTTGAGGCAGAGATAAAATACTTCTCCATAAAAGTATATAAAATTCTGACACAGCCAAGGAAGACTAGATTACCTATTTTCCTTTGAAAAGACATTATATTAACTGGAGAGTGTAATTAGTTATTTAGCAACGAGCCTTCTCATAGGTTCCAGTTGAGGAAGGGTTCCTTGCTCAGACCAGAAGCTGTGCAGCATTACAGCTTTTGTACATGCTTCAGGAGTGAGCACAGAGGTCAAGCCCTCTTTAAGACGGATCACAATGGCATTTAGTCTATGTTAAGCCTGTAATTCAATACCAATACTTTCTAATCAATACACTACTTCACAGCAGTTGCTGACAGAGCTAAACTGATAGGGTCTGCTCAGCCAACATATGTTTAAACCTAAACAGAAACACTCACTTGGAGTTTATCTTTGACACTGAATGAAGACTCACAGAGGTAATGAACTAAAAACAATAGCAAGATTGCTGAAGAAAAGCACCACTAATATACTGAAATATGTAAATTAAATTAGCAATGCCACATGTATCTCAGTGTACGAGACCTGTATAATTAATCTATTTTCTCTTACAGATAATCAAATCATTATCTTCTTTAAGATAAAATAGCTAGAAAGTTCAGTAACTTTCACACATTGTGGGGTTTAGCATCACAGCAGATACTGAAATTATTTCCCACCTTAGAGTTAAGTATCGGTAATTCTTGAGACAGAAACAGAAGATGGGGAGGTACTTCATTAAACAGGATCCTATGCACCTAAACTGCAATGCAGGAAACACTGTTTCCTTATTCACTTGGCTGCAAAGTACTGAAGAAACATTTATTATCTACTAATGCCATTACAGTTTTCTACGATACCACCATGCAACTCAGGGGCCCTCAGAATGGCTTTAAAACAGCATAAACCTGAATCTGTTGACACATGACAGGACACTGTTTTATCATAGACTCCATATGTATCACCCTGATGACCAATGAAGTTTCCTGCTCCACTTCTGGTTTTCTTTCCAGGTGAAAAATTGTAAAAACAGGGAGAAAAGAATTTAAAAAACACCACACCACTAAACATGACAAAAGTAACACTGTGTTAAGGGTTTCACTTTTTGGAAGTCTGTTGACAAGATCTCATGAGTCAAAATATCTGAAGGATACTCACTTGTCCTTGCATCGAAGGATTATATTCTTGCCTTGTATAAATTCTTTACTTTATGCAAGTATATCAGTTTATGCATTCACTTTGGATATTAGTGGTCTTGCAAAAAAAACTATACTGTTTGCAGGTCTGACACAAGATCAGACTTTCCAGCTACACCTTTGAAAACTGTAGTCAAGAAGACTTTCAGTGTGACTATATGAAAGACTATTAATTTATACTGAGACTTGAACAAACAATGTCTCTCTCTTTTCTGTCCCAATCCTCCCAAGTTCTAGAGTGCTGTGGATGGCATTTAGCAGAGCAATTTCAGTGCTTTGACTTGAAACCAGAAAATAAAATCTCAAGCACATCATTAACAGGTTAAATGAGATAAAATACCAGTTCTCTAGGCTACAGAGAAAACCGCAGGCCAGAAATTTTAACATGAAAAAGTTACTTCCACATAAATCTTTATCCTTCATGTCTTCACCTAAACAGCCCAATGACAACTTTTTATGTTTTTTAATCAAGTTCCAATAGACAGTCAGCTAAAACTAGCACCATCCATTTAAGCACATTATAGCTGAAATAGAAGTTACCTCTGTTCACTTCTCACTATGTAACCAAACCCATTTACTTATTTTCTAAAAGCTACTTACAGGTACAGAAAATATTATATTATATTATATTATATTATATTATATTATATTATATTATATTATATTATATTATATTCAGAAAATATTATATACAAGCCTCAAGATCTGAGGCTAAAATTATGACCAAACTTTTCCTTGATAATATTATTGTGAATATCCTAGAATTCTGCAGTTAAATAGTCTGTTTGCACTATGTAATCCTAAACAACAAATAGTTTTCAGGTCTCAGTTAATCTCAGGCACACTACCAATCTCTCAGTATTCAGACTCCCTGCAGAACTTAACAAGTCTCTTAGATGATTTTCAGAAGCTATTTTAGAATAGTCCTTTCCTGAAATCAGAAAACAGAGCATACACACACATATGCCATACACCATTCCAAACTGACATGATTCAGGATCTTGCTTGAACACCCTATCTACAATCTCATGTTACTTCAGTCTAGGGAGCATCAAAGCCTACAAACTGTTGCCAGCTCTGGCCTGCAGAGTCAGAGGGCCTGTTTATCTTCCCAGCACTATCTGTTCCTAGATACTTCTTTTCCCCAGCAGACACTTTTGTGGACAGTTGTGACTTTTTGTTTACATCCCCACTTCCCTTCCAAATTTTCTTTGAATTCCACTTTACTTTGTCAAGAACTTTTCCAATGATCAATAATAATAAAAATTTATTCACATCAGATTAGCTAGAAAAATAAGAAAGCAAATGAAAATATGAAATTCAGAAGCCAAGAAAGGAAACAAAAATAAATTAAAATCAATTTCCTAGCACTACACCAGAGATTTTTATGGGGGAATAAAAAAAGGAGAAAAATGTTATGAGTAGTGTAGTCAAACAACATATAATCAAATAAAGTAGTATCTATTTTCTCTTTACTGCTACACTGACCATCAATCATTTAACCAAGATGAAAAGTCAAGTTCTCTAAAGGAATCTGTATGAAGGGAAAGTTAAGGCATCCACTGTTCACACAAGTATCTCTGATATTACATCATCACAGAACTTAAGGTTCTCTAGGAAATAACCCTCACACCTAGGCAAGAGGGCATTATGACAACCTCAGCAACTAAAAATGAGGAGACATTTATGTTACAACTACATGTTGCCCCCAAAATGTAACAGTTTTGTTCTGACTAGAATGTAGAAGACTTTTAAAGCTTTTTGAAAAGGAGTGAAATCACACAACCATACCTATTTCCACGTAGCGGTTTGGTAGGTCACGCATTTCACTGGCATGCCGTTCTTTTACTGAGCAAATCTAGGAAACAAGAGATTTGAATTGTTATAAGGAAGCTGTAATTCCTAAAATGACACTAACTTTGCCTCAATAAGAAAAGCAATTTCTGAGAATTCTCCAACACGGATTTCTCTATTTTGAAAAACACAAGTTGTGAAACAGTAATGATCAGTAACACATCAGTAAAGAAAACCACATGGAAAAGTAGTGGATGTAGTTCACAGCCTTATAAATATGCTGGGAGAGAAGAGGACCACATAAAAGAAATGTGAAAATACATGCCCACTATGGTTTCTTCACAGAAGCATTTATTGAGTTTGGTTTTGGTGTCTTCTCACACTTTGCATCTCATTACCTTTCAAGGTACCTGATTCAGTAAGCTTGCCACTGCACCTCACAGTGACAAGAGGGGAGTATGTACATACAAAGAAATGCAAATAACCAAATGTGAAGCACAGGCAAATAGAAGGGGCAAGACAGATGCCAAACTTAGGACAAACCTCCTCATTTATAAAGCTCTAAGCTTAATGCTCCAAAAGCTTTTTACATATCACCTATCTTACTCCACCCTCCCCTTCCATCTATTCCTATCAGGCACTTTTAATTTCCTACTGTGCAGTGATGCAGCAGTATGTTATTAGAAAGCAGCTAACAGGCTTTTAACAAACTCATGTCATGTGCTGGTTTGAACAAATAATAATCAGTCTGCACCACAGAAGTTTGAAATGCCAGTTTCCTGTTGAAACATAACAAAACCCTAAGCAGTCTGTCCTTCCACCCACCCTTTTTTTTTTCGCCACAGTTGACCAAAATCATGTGGCCATTTTAGCAGCTGCAACCTCCTCAGCCCCCAAACTAATCCCCTCCAAAAATACCTCATGGTAAGTTGTTCTTCCTTAATGCTAATCCAAATAAATGAATTCAACAGCACACTAAAAGCTTTCAAAATCTCTCCAAGGAGTGAAATGTCCCTGAGGAGTACATTTACTGCATGCTCTCACACAGAAATCTGTCTGACTGCTGGGCTCCTCCTCCTCTTGAGGGTCGGTCCAATGACATTTCTAAGACAGCAAGAGTTCTGAACACTGGTCAAACCAAATTCTATTTTTTTCGATTGTCTTTACTTTTCAGAAACAATCCTCTGTTTGTCTGTGATAACAGCAAGCATTTATTACAAAGACAGGTAATTGCACCTTTACTGAATTTCCCCAGCCAATAATCAGTGTTAAATTATCCTTCCAGCAAAGGCTGCAGGGATACATATCTGGGCGGAGGCTTATGTCATCTCGAGGCACATTGGTAATTCTTTGCTTGGAGATCATGTCAAGTATCTTCACGCCCTGAAAGTTTAAAAACAAGAGAACTTTATTCAGTATGACAAACTCCTACTCACCATTTTGTACGCTAAGGCAGAGCAGCTTACGGCCTAAATTTCAGAGCAGGGCTGAGTGTACCACTGGAAAAAACTGTTGATACAAAAACCCATCTAACCCATGAGGTGATAAAAGGAGTAAAGGGATCAGAGTAATTTAGATATTTTAAATTCAAATGCCAAATAAAAAGACATAATAAGTGATTGAGTGACAGACTAGTAATTCCAGTCATGAACCAGTTTGGCTTATAAGGCTGGTGCTACCCCTGGAGAAATAAAAAGAATCCCAGCTTTTTCACAGCAGTCCCTGTAGAGACACAGAAATTTCCACCTTGAAAAAAAAAAGCAACAGCACATAGGATACATGAATTCAGTCTCAAGATACACATTTCAACTCTTATATAAAAACAGAAAAGTAAGCGTATTTAAACAATGCTTGGTTTTGTATGCTGTGATTTTTTTACTCCCTCCTCAGAAAATCTCTTAAACTAATAGAACAAGAAGTTAAAAACCAGGAAGCTTAAAGTCATTTGAGAGACAGAGGCAAGAAACCACCAATAATTAGATTTTTCTGTATCATTTAGACAAGGTAAGCTATAACCTTTCCAATAGCAAAATGGAGGTTAATTTCATATTAAGTAATTACTTGTTCTTGGTAATTTAAAACAAAAGTCTCTTGAAATTAAATATTTTAGTAGGGACTTCTTTTCTGCCCATAGATCTTAGAGAGTGAGTCTTCAAATCACAGTAAAGGGGGATGGAAAAGAACTTGAAGGTCAGCAACCATGATGCCATGCCAGGATTTTCCAAATGGCAAAACTGATTAAAAAAAATTCCTTTGCCTATTGCAGTTCCCTGCATTGTGAGTTTCTATGTCCACAGCTGTACAAATATACAGATACAACTGTTTAAAAGACATGGGGGGCTCATGGTCTAAGCCAGGTTTTGCCTTTGTTTTTAACCACAACGTAAGTGGTATGAGGGTGGCTGCAGAGATTTTTTTTCAGTGATCTTTGTCACTGAAGAACTGTGAGCATGGAATACACTTCCACTAGCATCTCATCAGCTAGCAGACATCAAGGTTTCTAAAACAAACAAAGAAACAAACAAAAACTTACCAAAACATCTGCAATGTACAGAACCCAGATCTCTCGGTAACATAAACAATCTTATTCTTTGTGTTTTCTAAGCTTATCTGATAAAATTTTTAATCTTGCCTTAATTGCATTTTAATAAAGTTGCTTTTTATAAATCTTACTACTTTGCCTCCAAGGATGATTTTCAGTGACCCATACCACATCCTCTGTTTTTCTACATGGCAGCAGATCTTGTATGGGATAGACCAGCTCCCATTTGAAGTACCTTTCAAGATAACAGTGTAGGATCTTCTTTGGTTATAAGTGTTGAGAGACAGTTGTTTAATATAGTAAGTTTTATATAAGAGCAAGTTATTTAGAGTTATAATATTGTGTGATATAGCATGTTGCTTGCATAGGTTTACTTGCTTAGCATAAGTAGCTGGATTTTTTTTTTTTGAAGTCTTGGGTGCTAAGCTCTGAACTTACACCTAGATATGCTTTTGGCTAGTAATTAATTATTAATTAATTCTCTTTTTAGTAGTTGGTACAGTGCTGAGTTATGGATTTACTGTAAGAATAACGTTTATGACTTACTGATGTTTTAGTTGTTGCTATGTAATTTCCCATGCTCTGCCTGTGAGCAGGTGCACAGGAAGTGAGCAAGCAATCAAACGGGTTGGCTCTTTGGAGCTGCCCACTGAAAAAGTACTCCAGTCCTTGAAGTTAAAGTGTGGGGTGATGCATATCTGACTCCTTGAATGGTGTGAGAATGCTTGAGCAGTAGCTTCTCCACTAGCAGGTATGCCATTTGCATCATGAAAGCCCTTCCACAGTCAACTTCCCAACATGAATGAGCTAAAACCTGTCCAAATGGGAGTCCAGCAGCCAAATGCCTCTAAGGATTTGTCCCTCAGATGTCTCAGTTTGTAAAACTTGCACTATCAGCCACAGAGGGAGGAGAAGAGGGAAGGAGAAGCAGAAAACATGGGTTACCTATGCATCTGAAAAGCAGAATTAGACCTTGCCTAAATATGAAAACTAGGTAACCATGAACACACAGTAAGAAGCAAGGCTATAAACATTTTCTCTGATTTGGGAAAAAAAAGTGTAACACAAAACCTTGCTAGAGAATGGAGTTTAAAAAGTTAAAGGGGAAGAGAAAGGGCAATAACCAAATATATTAATCTTCTGGAGGGCAAGTGTCATTTTATTTTTCTTTGAAAGATAGGCCCTGACCGTGGCTTTTTGTCTCTGACAGATGGCTCTCAATGTTTTATCAGTACGCTGCACTCTGTGTTCTGCTGTGGCACATCATCTCTAGGGATAGCTCTTGTCCTATCCATTCCAGTAGATATCTGGAATATGTATTTTAATTGTATGGATCTGAAAAGAACAAAACCTTCAAATAACCTAATGTTATGTCAGTCAAGCCCTCAATGAAGCTTCCATTCTAACAGTTATTAAAGGGAAGCAAATAAACAAAGGTCCACCTTTAACAATTTCATATCAAACTTGTTTTGAAATATAAAAAAGAGCAACGGCTTTAAAATATTTTAATAAATGCCTCCCTTTATGATGGAAAAACAATAGAAAAAAAGCTAGTGTTTCAGAAATACTTTCAACACATTTTAAAAAATACTTTGGAATTTAGACATGACACACATTAAAAACATATCCCTCACTGCTGAGCTGCAAAACATAGAGCTTGACCCATCAATTAGATATACAGTGATAGGTGAAATGTAATACTCAGAATGAATGTAATGGTTTCCTTTAAAATGTTACTTAGAACAAAAGGAGCCTATTTTCTTCTAAGTCTAACTTTCTTCTAGTGACCTAACAAAATGAGAAATTATTACTGTGTTTTTTTATAACCTACAACACTGAAAGTGCATATGACAACATAATTTCAGTACAAATTACAAAATCCAGACAGTTTTTGGTTTTTTTTTTCAGGGGGTGGAAGGGAGTGGAGATGTTCTATTATTTATATAGAGAAGAATTACATAGGCATTCCTTCCTCAGTTTTTTTCAATAAATTGCACTAATCAAAATTCTAATCAATAATAGCGTACATTAGGGACCACCTACTTTCCTAGTTTCTTCAGAAGTGGCAATCATATTGGAGAAACCTTACTAATCAGCAGAAAACAACAGAATAAATTTCTGTTGAAGAATTTCAAAAGAAATGACACATAAACCACTATCCTTCAATGCCTTTTATAACCAATTCTACCAATTCACAGTTTTTCAACTGAATATTCTGGCAATTATCATTAAAAATGTCAATAATCAGTGTAACACAGAGATTTTCTTGTACATGTAATGGAGGTGAAAAATACTTACCATATTATTAGCCCAAGCAATTAAGTGCCCCCTCCATTTTATATTTCTTATATTTCCTTCCCCTTCGTGTAAAACTGAAGGCTTCCATCTATTCATCCAACCTCTTTCATATAACAGCAACTATGAAGAAATGCAACAATAAATATTTCTTTGACACAATACTGTATGCAGACATGGAATTTATTTTTTCTTCATTATCCCTTACTCTGTTTGGATTTAAGAGCAACGAAAAATATACACCTATTACAAAACAAAAGCATATACAATCAAACATTTTGCTATATATATTTACATCAAGCGTCTTGTATATTACAGAATTCCTGTTAAATTTTAAAAATATTAATAGGAAGGCCTTTCATCAACTTTCTCCAAAGAACAGTAAGTATAATTATTTACTTTCTAAAGACAAAGAAATTAAGGTATTTCAGAACCTATGTCTACAGCACTAGTGACAACATTTCAGAAAATTGTTAAAGAAATCAGATCACCTCACATTCACCGATCTTGACATTCACCAATCTCGTTAGAGGCTCCTTCCCTCCAAAAAAACCCGGATAGTCAAAGAAAATTAAAAGATCCCCAAGCCTGTGACCTGTTGCTTGGCTCCATGTGGAACTACACAGCCTCCCACAGGGGCCTAGAGATGCTGTGGTTTAGTTCCACATGTGCAAACTGCACTATACCACAAGTGCTGCTGATTGTAAAACTTGTGTGACTGGTAATCTCAGGTTCTGCAACTAAGGAAGGTATTTTAGAATATCTAAAAGTATAAGAAATGTTATGAGATGCTTTTCAGCAGCAAAGAAAAACCGAACTACATGCAGAAAGTCTGCACAGAAGGATTGGTTGGCTGAATCATGGTGCTAATAATGCCAAGGTGCGGGCTCAATGCAGTTATGGACCATTCACTTAAGAGCTGGACTCAATGATCCTTGTGGGTCCCTTCAAAATCAGAACATTCTGTTTTTGTATGTCTTATTAAATTATTTAACAGCATTACAGGGAACTACTCAGAGAGAAGTTGGAGGGATAAATAAGAAGCTGAGGCATCTACCAAGATTATACTCTAAGGTATCACTCCTGCTAACTTTTGCATGAGTACGACATATGCACGGCTTGAACATATGAACATATATGTTCAGGTTGTGCATACGAACATATGCACAACCTGAACCCGAGCTCCTGAGTTCACACCTCACACTGGAACATGTGAAATAGCTGTCTGCAAGGATTTCTACCATGCTAAAACCCAAATGGAGTACTCTTCTTGCTAACATTTCCTATCTAAGATCCAGCTGTATGCACTTTTTTATATATGGTTTCCCACCACTTGTATTTGGATAAATACATCAAGTGTTAAGACATTAGTTGTTTAAAATAAGATCTTTACACAAAATATGAGATTTTAACGACAATTATCAGAATACCTGTCTCCTAAAGCCACCAGATGGCACCAGAAGACAAGTATTTTCTCCAAGAGTTTAAAGCAAGCACTAGATAGGGTAGTCTTTTGAGAAATTTTTGTATGAATTGCACTTCAGATGTCAACTTTTAGTTCAAGCAAAGTGATTTTGTGTCCTTCACATAGGTCACATGAAGGCCCAACTTTCAGACAGTATAGATTTTTTGAGTAACTCTCACAGAACATGTTATTTTACAGCTGCCAGGGAAAGCCACTGAAAGCACCTACAAGTCAGTGCTATATGGAGGGATTTCCATTAGAAGACTGGTAAGTAGATGTTAAGGACAGGAGCAGCCCTCAGCCCAAATGAATGATCTCCACTCAGACACTAAAGATGCCATAAAATCTAAGTGCTGTGCTGATCCAGACTTGAAAATTACTTTTTTCCTAAGAAGTTGGACGGAAGAAGAACTGCTGCTTGGATGCTTCTTTCAATACTGTCCAATAAAGACAGCAGCAAAATACATGGTATTTGCATTGAGACTTTCTGGACAAAATTAAAAAACTGATGAGGATGATGTGAAAGGTTAAACCTAACTGATGTTAATTATATTAATTGTACTTGGAATTTATTCTGCTTGTGACTGAATTGCGATTTAAATTAATTTATTATACTCAAAATCCAGAACTTTTCTATGTGTTTTGGAACGGCTGCGTACTGAAAGCATCTCTCAAAATAAACAGCATAATTTCTTTCTTAGTCTTCCTTTCTGTCTCCACATTGAAATGTTAATCATACCAGAAGGTAATTTAAAACTTCAAAAGACTTGTAAGAAGAAATCCATGGTTTCTGGAGGCACTCTTCTTACCATCTCCCTCTCTTTTTGGTAGGGGAAAAATATTTTAAGATTTTATTTGCCATATATCCTATACTATAGTAGTCACCATTCACAGTACTTATATTTCAACAGCAGCCAAAATCCCACTTTCTTGGCTTCTCTGCAATAGTTTGTTTTCCCTGTTTTTCATTTGCTCTCATAAAACTTTCTAGTCCTTTGTTGCATACAATACAGTTGTGCTTAGAATACTCTTCCAGTCTATCTTGCATGCACCACAATTTGATAATGCAGCTAAAATAACCTTTAGCCTCAAGGTCCCCACCCACACTGTTTCACAGCACATTGCAATCTTCTGTTAGCTCACTAATTATTTTGTTAGCTCACTAATTATTTTGCGAGTCTTAGCTGTTTACGATTGTCCACCAGATCATTAAGAAAAATGACACACTGAAATGTATGAGACAAGAGGATGGAGCAGGACACTTTTTGCTTTTAAAAAAAAGTTGGATTAGAATACACGTTTTGGATTAGTGAATACATCTCTCTATATCTTTTACTAACAGGAGATTAATCTACACCAAAAAAAGCTCAAAACTCTATTTTAGAGTGCATTCATGAAAGAGAGTAGATGAGTGCCTGGACTTAATGGAGCCTGTCATACAATCAGCATTAACACTAATTACATGTAATCCTGGTTTTAAATTATATACAGGAATTCCCAATCCTCTGAACAAAGAGGTGAATGATTGCAACTTTGGAAGTATCAACATGGTGAAGTAATTCAATTTAATTTATTCTCACTACCAATTACTAGCTTCAATATACTGAAATAAAAGATGTCTGTTCTCACAGAAATTTCAAAGGAAACACACTTTTAATGATGCCTAGCATCACTACTTTGTTTCAACACAGTGCCTTCTGTGTAAAGATTTGAAGAAGTTTTAGTGAAGTGAAGGAAAAAAGTCTTAAGTCTTCAATTTGTAACTGAAGAGGAGCTTTTCCATTCCCTACTGCAGAACTGTTGGATCAGTTTTTATCTTACAAAATGAAAATTAGAACAAAAGTACCTGTAATTTCCTTGTCCTGCTCTTTGTCTAAGTGTGAAGATGAGCCTACCTTTGGCATTTGTCCTGTGTTTTGGTGCCTCTGTCACCACTTTCATCTCAGCCAGCCAAGACCACAAAAATCTAAAATGCTATCTCCATGGTTACAAGTGATCACTACAGCTATTTATTGTTTTCAGCATAAAAGAAATATTTACAGGCATAGCCAAGATTAACAGATACCAGAGAGTAACACAGAACAGCATGCCTCATGAAGACTTACTGTTTAATAGTTCATCCCTAGGAAAACATACAGCAACAATAAAAAATTATACTTTGTATCTGAAACAGACAATGGGACTGGAATGAGCTCAAACAAGGCAGAGAATAATGTAAGCCTCAAGCTTTCAGCTGAAGATAAGCTTTCAAGATTTCGTCATAAAATGTTGTGTAGGGAGCTGGGGTGTGAACAGAGAGGAAGGCAGCAAGTACAGCCAAGGGAAATCAAGCAAGGAGGCAGAGGCACACAGCAGCATGGGGAGGTAAGTGATGGTAACAGTGAGAGATGAGACAGGAGTTACTGCTGTAGTTCATGGACAGAGGAGCTAGAAATTTTGAGATATTTAATAGAAACAAATGCCAAAGGACTTTTATTAGGCTTCACTTTTAATAACTCAACTGCCACATTCCAGCTGTTGCCTATTCACAAAAAGCTACAGAATTAACACCTTGAAAAGCAAATCCCACCGTCTTGCAGGCAGAGAGACACATTTCACACACTTAGATCCTCTTTGCTTGCCACCTCAGTCAATGAAAGAAAGGGTTCTACACAGACATTTGTAAAGCACACAACTATAGATTACATGCACATAGGACTATGATCCATTTGCTTTACACAAACCAAATTTATTACACCACATGGAGAATTTTTATTTTAGCAATAAAGAAGAAATGCTTATCTGAATACCCATAAAGAAGAAATGTAAGCAAAAAAAAAAGCTTATTAAGCAAACCAGACATACTACATATCAAAGTCTCATCTGCTCAATAATATGGGATACATCTGGGCATTTTGCATTGCAGCAAGGAAATAACAGATGAGTAGTGTTGTGGTTTGCTTGCTGCTACAGTTTATTTCCTACTTATGGTAAATTATCCAATGCATGAACAAATTGCCACAGTATTTACTCCTTCTTCACTTAAATCAGACTTTTGACTATTTACTGAGTGACATTTTATAGCTTACAAAGCAATCTGCCTTTCTTGTCTGGTACTCTTCTACCCAACATAATGCCAAACAGCTGACTATCTGATTTCTAAAAATGGACTGTGCTGCAAACAGCATCCTGACAATTTAATAATTTGTCAAAGTACTTCAGTTATTACAAAGTACATATCATAGGGTTCAAAGGTAAGGTCATCTGCTTACTCACCACACAAAGTACATCTGCTGACACTAAAAAGCAACAATTAAAAAAAAATCTGAGACATTCCTTGGCAGATTGACTTTAACATAGAAATTCCAGAATCCCTAACAGCTATCACAGATCCCCAACAATGCTTTTCTCTTGCCACTTGTGCACTGTTTGCAATCACCATGCTTTCTCTGCATGTGTTGTTGCTCCACCTGGAGTGGAAAGAAATTTAGATTGTCTTGTTTTGCATTTCAGGCAAGAGTTACCATGGGTCCAGAATTCTGACACGGAAATAGGTTTTTTTGTTTGGTTGGTTTTTTGTTTGTTTTTTTTTTAATGAGACATTTTCCCCAGGTAACATTAAGTTCTCCCTGCTTTTATAAGAGAAAAAAAGTCTAATGTTTAAACACAAGCATTGATAAGCTTAGATGTTAATTCTGGGAGGATAAATGGGACAAACATATCTGTATTTGAAAACCAGTTCTAATAGTATATCTTCTGCAGCAAAAGAAACACAGATATAATTAAAAATGTTTCCATATATGTATTTCCAACAAATATATATATAAAAACCCATTAATATATTATGTAGATATCGACACAGATAGATATAGAGAGATGACACTGTTGACAGTCACAGGGTACATCCGTTTTATTTTGGTTCTCTAGCCCTTAAAATGTTCCCGACTGGATAAGCAAATCAATACTTATTATACAAAATGTATGTCCTAGGCAAATGAGGAGACCTGGTCCTTTATGATATAGAATATTCTACTCCTATACTTCAGAATACATTTGCTTAATTTGTGCTGGGTCCCCACTACCATGCTGGGTTGAGAAGACTTAAAAAACCCCTCCATTAGCACACATTCAGGAGAGTGACTCAAACACTTCAGAGGACTCACTATCCTAAGTGTTTCACTACAAAAACCTTTGAATCTAGTTATTAATGTTAATAGAGACGATGTCTCTGCCAAGAGAGGAATCCCAACTTGTCCTGCTCTCCTTATGTTATCTTTACATAAGTCACAGTAGCTGATACCTCGACTTTGCATCTGAAATAATATTCAGTCGTCTTTCTTTGTTAGTTCTGTCTGTGTAACCCTCATGACATAACGGACACTTGGACTTTACGAAAATGTTTATTTAGTTCATGGATTGGGAAAGACCAGCACTCTAAGAGTTAAATCAAGAAAACCTTGTTTTCAGCTTTACCACCCTCATTTAGTTGGCTTTTACCCTGTTATTTTTTGAGATTAGAGCCTTTTTTTAAAAGGTAGAAGGTTATGGCCTTCAATAGCACAGTATTTGTCTTTTCCCTTGCTTTGAAGCTCTATTGTCTGCTCTGGACAGAAATGCCCTATTATTTACAATATACAGTATTCTTATTTCACGGTTACCATCATCTGCCAAATCAGCACAACAGTGCTGTAGTTAATTGCAGAGGTGAGAAGGGGAATAAGGAAGCACCTTCTTTTAGTATGGCACCTATTGCTTCTCACTGCAATAGTGTAAATTTCCACAGTACCTGTCTTATTTCTAGGCACAGATAATATTAATTCACTTAGGAAAACGGGTGAAATAAGCTTTGCCAACCCAAAATATTATCTCAAGTTTAACAGAAGTTTTCTTTTAAAGACTAATGCTTTAATAAGCAAACAATTTAATTAGTTCATAATACATTTTAGAGAAAAGCTTCTCTATATGCCTACTTAAGCAAAGTTAAGCAACCATATAAACATACGCACAGCAGAGTTAAGCTTACAACAGCTCACAATGATTACCCCAGTTACCCCAGGGAGCACTGCTCTTAAGCCAGCTTTAGGTCAGGCTGAGCTTCTAAGATGTAGCAAATCCCAGCATTACACAGCAATTCACCCAAGTTCCAGACATCCACCTGTGCAGGGAACTGAGGACCTACACTGTGCATCCCTGAAGCATGTCGCTAGGGTCTTTTCCCCCCTTCTATTTCTTGAATATTTCCAGGATGCCCTGAGTGGATATTTGAACTGAAAAATGTATTTTTTACACATTTTATATTGTTATGAAGAATATTTTCCTAAAAAAATACAGGCAAAGCAAACAAAAAAATGCACTCCACTTTAAAAATACTTACATACATTATGCCACCATTTCCAGAAAGCAAAAGCAAAAACAGATCCAGAAAGCCTTTGGATTAAGAGTTCACATGATACACACTATGTTTTTTAATGCACCTCAGGCAAGGAGCATAGCATTAGAGCTTTAAGCAAAGCTTTTCTTTTACATTTGCTCCAAAATGAAGATACTCTTCCTGTTACTCTTACCTTGGTGTGGATGAGGACAACAGACAACATGCCTCCCACCACTGCCAGCTATCAGGGATGAAGTCACTGTATACATGCAAAGGCTAGAAGAGCACAGACCTCAGTAGCCACAGGAGGACCTGTCCCCCACCCTGAAGGAGTTCACTTTGGTTGCTTAACTAGGCACAAACCCCCAGACACAGGGAGAGAGTGGTGAGGTCGACAGCCTGAGGCTGTATGCTTCAGCCTGCTTCAGCCTCACTCTTGTGTTCAGCTGCCTGTTGCCTGCTGCCTCCACACTACACTTTGGCTTTATAGTTAAGGAGAGGTGTAAATGTTCAAAAAAGAAAAAAAAAAAAAGTAAAAAAAAAAGTAACTTCATTAGTAGGTGGAATTTAGCTTCCTGAATTTTCAAAAAGCATTTTGTGGTTGCTTTTACAGAAGTACGTATGCTCCTTTTGGAGGAAAGGAGAGAAGGGAAAAGGTTTCTACTGCAAAGCTAAAGGCTTTATTTGTTGGGTTTTTGTACCAATACAATCAAATGACAGGTGTCAAGTGACATCTGCTTAAATGCTAAGTACCTTATGTTAAGATGTCAATTAAAGTTTTCTGAGGAGGGAAGTTCCTCAGCAAAGCATGAATGTATTAAGAATGAGTATACCATTCCCCAGAGGACAGAATATAAAACAACCTGTCAAGTAATCAAACATAACCAAAGAGAATGTGTTAACTCCCTGATGTTTTTCTTTGTTCAGCATCAGGTGAATGCAAGATCTTTTACCACCTGGCGGAGCCCTGTTCTATTAATTCATTGCTTCTCTCCTTCCATGCTCCTTTTATCAGCACTAAAGAGCTTCACAAACTGGTGGCTGACACACACACACACTGACTATGCATTATTTTAAGGACAACACCAACTTCTACCAGCCAGAAAAATCTGTCAAGCACACATACCACTTAAATAAGTAAGGCACAGCTATGCTTTGAAACATATCACTGAACTGTTAATGAAAATTAAGATGTATTCAGCACGAGGAGCCTGTAGTTTTCATGTGCTGGTAAGAGAGAGCAATGGCATTTGGTTTGATGCACCTGTGAGAATTGCTCATCCTTAATTCTTAACAGAAGGCAATAGAAAATTCCATGCATTCAAGAAACTGTTCCAAATAAAACTTTTCAGATTTTGACTGAAAATATGCAATGTGATATAAGATACTTGTGGGACCTGGAAACACCTCCAATCTGGAAGTCAGAATTGTATCCTACACTAGTAAGACGCTTAATGCACATCTAAAACACCAACTGAATCCAAATAGAAGACTACCTAGAGATGTAGGTGCTTGGAATGGGGTGACCTCTACTATACCAAGAACTCCCCTTAGTTCATTTTAAAATAACCACCAAAACCCCTCACCATGGAGAAGAGCTGATGAAGATACTTGGGTTTATTTCCTTAAAATAAAACACCAAACAAACAAACAAAACCCCATCCCAAAAAATCACCCACAGGCGACCCAAAATCAACACGTAAAAGATCAGTTTTAAGGTCTAACTTCTGCTCCCACTTCAACAAATTAAAATGGAGAAAATATGGCCCACGACATATAAATTACTTTTTTTTTTCAGACTATCTAGACAGCATGGTATTTCTACTCTGAATCTCAACTTGTTGCGACATGTTTTTAACGTAAAAATTGCACTTTCTCTCCCCCTGAAATCACTTTTAATTAACAATGCTTTAGAATACAATGCATAAAGAGAACGAAAAAGCAGAAGTCTTTGTTCTAGGTGTTAAAAGTCATATACATATCCTTCCAAGCTATATCAAAGGGCTATTTAAAGGTAGCCAAAGTTCATTTTCAATGCTTACCTTTTTTCCTCCTGTTACAAATTGCTTGAAGTGGGATCTTACAAATTGTGGATGAACAGCAACAATCTGGAGATGGTGGGGGAAGAGGGAAAGAGAGGACTGTGGCTTAATAAGAGTTTACATGAAGCACCACATCACTCTTTAAACTAGATAACCCTTTGTCAACTCAGTTGAGTTCTTTCTCTGAAGTAAAGCCTAGTTGTTTCAGACACTTGGTTGTTTTTCTTAAAAGATAACTCTCCATATTATATGCTGTATGACAAGTGTGATACTGAGTGCTGTGTTACACTGAATAGCTACTTTTCTGTACAGCAGGCTGCAGAATTAGGACCAATCAGAACAGGACTGCTGTGAGCAAGAGTTACCCCAATTAAATCTGGTCTGGGGCCTGCCTGAAGGGCACACATACCTCAGCCCTGTTAGAGGACAACATTGTGTGGCATCTTAGAGTCTCTTTGCCTTACGTGTTAAAATGTCAAGTGTGAAGATTCAGCTGTATGAGCAATAAAGGCCTTAGGAGGCCAGTGAGTCACATCAGGCATGTGTGAAAATTTAACAATCTCATTCCTTTCCCCCACACCCTAAAGAGCAGCTGCAACATGGAAGACTCCAAGCAGCAAAATGCAAACATTTGCCCACATCACCTTTCCTCCTGCAAGAAATGTTTCCTGTTAAAAATCACTGGATTTTCCCATATGCCTAATAGATGTCCTTTTTTCGACAGCCAGGCAGACACGCTTCTCTAAAGCAGAGTTAAACTCCAGTTTTCCCTTCAGATAGGGCACATCAGTATCACTGCCCATTGCCTTATTTTGAGGCAGGTTTAATGGATATGAACTGGTTGCAAAATATTGACCTCCCATTTAGCATAACCCTCAGAATTTGTATCACAAATCTACAGAGAAATATGTTGAGACTGTTAACACCCGAAACAGGACAATTTCTCTTTCACTTTCCTTTTGTATTTGAACAACTCAATAATACCTCTTACAAAACCAAGATTGGCTTTCTTCCTACCAAACCAGATCAAAAGCTTTTATATTGAGATAGAAAACTATTTCCTAGTGACTTGAATAACATTGTAAGGAAGTGGTATTCCTCTCTTTCATTTATATTGAATGTGACCTTTCTGTTATTAAAGACAACACCACAATTACTAAAGATTAAAACAAGCACTTACTTTAATAGGACAGTCAAACGTTTCATGAAACTCTTCCGCTGAATATAATCCAAACACTTGTACCTGAAAAAGTATATTGAAAAGCCGAAATTATTTACCTAATTTACACTGAACCATTAACACTGAAAGTAAAATCCTAACAACTAGAAGATTATCTGAATGCTATCAGTAACATCTTTTTTCCTAAAGGAAGACACAATTAACAATTCAGAGCTAATTGATGACACAATAGGACATTAAATGAACGATGCTGAAACCTCCAAGGTAAAAAGAAGGTAGTTTTTTCTCGACCTTAATGTATATAGAATTCCAAAAGTGACCCTGGATTGGAGGATGAAATTGCCACCTCTCTAATGACACTGGTCAAACCAACAGTCCATCAATTTTCTCCTCCTCCAGAAAGGAATGCAAAACAATTATCATTTATATGAAAAAGTGTGTGAGAAACTCCATTACAAAAATGTAAATAGCAGAAGGCTTAAAAGAACTTAGAAGAACGGAGTGACAAATTAATATGGCTTGGTCTTCTACAGTGATATATCTCTAATAGTTTCAAGCAATATGGAAGTACTTTTATGAATATTTTTCCTCCTTTTTTTTGTTACAATCACAGCAAAAACAATAAGCTCCTTTTGCTTTAGGCTGATGAAATCTGTTTAACAGATAGCAACCTAACTATGGTAAGAGTAATAGAATGACATTCAAGAGAAAATAAACTTAGAATTCTTCCTTTCTGAGAAAGAATGGTAGGATTTTATTTGCCTCCAAGCAATACAGGGTTTACATAAGAAAAGAAACTTGTGACAATAAAGGAAAACCAGCCTGAAATCCAAGCTCCATATATTTCTAGGCATTCTCTTCTCCTTCCCAGCGTATACAGTGCTATTTTGTTTTATTCCATAATCACAGGAAATTTCTTTCTCTGAAGACTCCTCCCTTCTCATTTATACCAAAGTATCAGTACATTTAAGAGTCAGCAGAGGAGTTGCAACTATAGGCAATCATATCTATCAGAATCAATCCATCTGAAGAAGCGTCAACACTGAATTTAAAAAAAAGTTTCTACAGTCAAGAGAATTAACAGATTTTTAAAATGTTTCCTTGCCTTTAGTTCAGAACAGGTACAGAGATATCAAGTGTTAATGAAATATTATTAGATTATATGACTACAGAATAAGGTACCTCCAGATTATTTTAAGTACAGCCCTCTTTTCGACTCATGTCTCCCATTCAATAAACAATATTCCCTTTCCTTACTGTAACATGAGACAGTTGACCGCCTAGCTCCTGCAGAATTTAGGAGTAAAATAGGGCTGAAAGCTTATGGTCAGGAATTAGTAACTGATTTACTAACTATGTTTTTCAGAAAGAATAATAAATGGTTTGCTTTTTCATTATGTTTTTAAGAGGTTTCCATCCACTGTCAGAAGTTGTTGAAACAAACTCATCCAAGGAGGGATGAACAGCACTGGAGAAAGGGAGAAAAAAAGAGCATCCCATGGAATGATCAGCAAGGAAATGTATCTGACAGCAAATCTACTTAAGAATGCTCTCAGATAGGCTCTCATTATTTTCCAGAAAATTTTCTGGAAAAGGTAATCCCTTCAGTAACTCTGCTCTACATGTTCAGCATTGGACTCAAAAGTTCTAAAAGATCTTTTAACCTTATTTCCTTCTTCCCATCATGATTCCTTCAGGGGGAAAAAATAAAAAGGTAAGAGTAACAAGAAAATATAAATCCCTTTAGAGAAAGACCTAAAGAATAAAGTCAGTAAATATCAGTAACGGGCCACAAAAATTGAGGCTTAATTGCTCTAAAAAGATCAATTCAGAGCCCAAGAACACCCACAATTCCTGCAGACAGTCAAGAAGACAAAGTAAAAATATTAAATTTAATGGAAACTACAAGAGAAACTAAGCCATCTACAAGGAACTAGGACATCCTTAGAGTGGCTCAAAGTTCAGCAGTCTCAGTGAAGTTAAAAACATCTCCAACCACCTCATTTTCCTTTCAAGCTTGTCTCCTGGATACATCTCCTAAGCATTATCAGCTCAGTCCATTACTCATTAGCGAATATACTGCCTCTAACAACACTTTAAAAATACTTCTGCATGCACTGTGTAGGGCTGAGCTACTGCTCCAATGGATTAGAAAAATCAATATTTGGAGACTGTGAGATGTATCACAAAGCTGTGATTATGTAAGCCAGCCAAAGTGCTGTATTTGAATTGGATCTGGCTGTAAGCCTAGAAAACCTTTGGGCTGATGTCTAGAGGATTTTGCTTTCTGGGTTTTTGTTTTCATCAGCTGGCACATCATATTCAGTATAATAGCCTACACAAAGTAAGAAAGAGAGGAAAGACAACATAAGACAGAAAAAAGAAAGAAGAAAATAAAAGAAAATACACAGCTAAAACGTAACACTGCAAATTCCGTGAAAGCAGAATCCTCAAAAATTACAAAACAGCCCTCTTAAATTAAAAGTAAGCAATCAAAATTAGCAACAGTGCCTTCAACGTTTTCCTAATATATCACTGAATATTTCTTTTGGAGTATTACAATAACATGGAGTGAGCTAAGAGGAAAAAACAATTCCGCAAAAAATAGATGTTATCATGTTTACTCTAGGGACATCATCTAACAGTTTATTACTTCTTAATGTCTCATATTCTTCAGAAAAAAAGCGATTCTTTTGCTATTACAAACCTATATCGGATTTATCTATTTCTGCTTTCCATGCCCACTCTGTTCAGGACACTCTTAGGCATCTGGAAAAAGGATTTTACGATTTCACTACATTTTGTTAGTCCTGTCTGATTTTAAATATCCAGAACCCACCACTCCAGTGCATCCGGACTTAGCCGCTTCTTTGCTTCCACATATGGAAAAAGTAAGCAACCTTCAGTGACCAAAAGGCAGGAAAACAAGTAACATTTATTGAAAAATTATTAACGTAATACCAATGTAATTCATGGATATTCTTAACATCAATGTTGTTACAGGCATTAGAGATGACACTAAAACATGCAAGAACATGGGTTTTCAATATAATTTATATTTCTTAATATAAAAAAAGTTACAAGCCAGAATAAGAGTGCCAATTACACTCCTCTTATGTAATGACATGGAAGCATTAGCAAAATCAGGAGTCATATCCAGGTTTTTCAAGATAGCATACAATTAACTACACAAAAAACTAATCTATAAATCTCCAGAATTCTGAGGATGCCAGCCTGCTTCCTGTTGTATTTATTTGAGCACCAAAATTCTCTTATACCCTAACATTTCAACACCCAGCAGCTAGACTAGAGGGCTGGTGCTGGTTATGATTTCTGCTCCTTTCGATGCCAGTGGTGATCAGCTGCAGCTGACTTCATTAGAAAGCAAGGTTTTCAAAGAACCAAATGCATAGTACAGAAAAGCAGCAAGTGGCTCCCAAAGCATTTGTTGGACTTGCATGACATACATGCGACAGGTTTTGACATTGGGTGTGGACACTGACTGTCAATAAGAGGGTTTAGAAAATTGTACTGTGCTTCTGTGCTCTCCCCCCAGTCTGTACAGCTAGATCAAATCTAGTTTGAAAGACAGAAAACAAAAAAGTAGTAAAATACAATATGTAAATATAAAAGGCCAGCAGAACAGATACGAGGAGGAGAAGGTTCTCATCATAAGGCCTTCCTGCAAGAAAATAAATGGTTTCCATCTCTATCATATTGGATCCACTTTGATACGTGAAAATGCACTCTGCTTATAGCAAAAGAGAACATATCTTCATTAATTGGTAGAATATACTTGCAGCTAACTCAAAATTCCCAAGCCTCTTCATTACATCTGCTTTTTTGTTTAGAACTGATTTTAAAAAATCCTAAACTGTTTTACTGTACTGCTTCACTGTTTTTTCCCCCTTCCCCCTAGTTTTTTTTAAAAAGATTTCACCACTTTTACATACTTCATCAAGTTAATAAAAACTTTGTAACTACTTGTACAAGTACTTTAACTGCTTACAATATCAACATTCCCACTGCAATTAGGCAAGAGCTGTAAGGAATGAAAGTTATACTTTTTTTATTACCAGAATCTGTAAGTGCTACATTATCTGGCCAAGAATCTGCCATTTTCTTATACAGTAGCACAACCTAAAACTATTTTAATCAATTTTAGGGGTGGATTATTTCACAGACATGAGTCTTTCTGGATCATGTGGAAAATCTGACTTCTAAAATACCCAGATCTTTTAAATCTCCAGGTGAGTTTTTCACAAGTGTAGAATATGGTGAAGCATCAATGTCCTTGGACTCTATGAATGCAAATATACTGAATATTGTACCTGAGAGACTCCATCCTTATGGCTGTGGGACTGTATTTTAGACCGCCTTGTATAGTATGTAATGTCATACACTGGATCCACAACTGCTATTTCACTAAATGAAGACAGAGTCACCATTTAAAGCATCGAAGTCCTTTCAAATAGAACCACACCAGAGTAATGATTATGGGGGTTTCAGTATTTCTGAAATTAAATAAGTATATTTAATATTAGCTTAGTATACGAAAAAACGTGTATGGCTTCAGTCTCACCACAGCGTAGTGGATTACTGACAGTCATCCACAGTCACATCTGAGGAGCCCTTACAGTAAGTGCTTGCTCTCCAACACCATAGGAAAACCTAAACCAACAATGCTAGCTCAACATTTTTATTAGCTTGCACAATTACTGACCCTTGCCTTATCTTGCTTAGACAAATAGGATACTCTTGTGGTGTTTCAGACAGGATGTAAAATTCTATAACCAATTTGATAGGCACTAGTATCCTAATTACTGGGCCAAGACACTGACATCAAGATATATCTCAGAAATAAAAGGCCTGGATACACAAACTGGCTGCCTGCCTGTTGAGGGACAAAAAACTCTATTTGGAAAGAAAAAACCCAAATACATACAGCCTAAAGAGCTTGTTTCCTCATTTTTCCTATTGCAAATTCCAGCTGTATTTTAATTTAAAGAACTTCAACTGAATGCAACATTAGGATTACCAACACTCTTCCTCCCCCAAGTCTACTGTGTGAGAAATGTTCTCCTGAGAAGTAGGATGGATATTGAGAAATTATTTAAATTCCTTTTAATGCATTGCATTGGTATATGGACACTATATTAAAAAAGAAGTTTAAATACACTCTGTATTAGAATTTTATCATTGCAAACCAACATTAGAAAATACTGTCATCCACTGAAAAAACAAGAAGACATTCTTATAACCGGAAAATCAATCACCAAAACCACTAAACCTCACAGCTCAACATTCCAGAGAAGCACTGATAATTGCTACTTATACACTACACAAATGATATATGTCCTCAGCCAAGGAAGTAGGTTTTTAGGAAACAGTACATATATTGACTTTACATTTATTTAATGTGGCTGTTGTAAGACACTTTGCTCTTCTGATAAACTACAACTGTTTATCAAAAGATTCTGTAATTCAAGAGAAACATTCATAAAGTGTGTGAAAATGAAAACCACCAGCCCACAGAAATCATGTCCACAAAATCTAATTTTGTGGATTTATAGCAGAAGGGCATTAAACTACTGTCTTGCAGGAACAGCAGAGTAGTCACTGAAGTATAACTGGCACAGCAGTAATGATTAAGTTGACATGTCCTCCTGTCACAGCTGTTAATCAGCTTAATAGCAGTTACATTATTGACATTCTTGTAATTACTTTTCCTACAGCATATTTGTGCAAAATATATTTGATTTTGAGTATTCAAAGGTGAGTTCAGTTCTCAAAATGTATGGTCAAAGTAGTGGTGCTCAATGCAGGAATCAACTCCACAGGTTATCACAATTATCCTAGTATAATACTAGGACTACTTGCTGCCTCAACAAATAAATAAAGACATTTGTTGTACCTTCCCATCTTCTGAGCAAACACCCATATGTTCTCCACTTTCATCCAGGCTGATCTGATTTATCTTCACTGGGCTCTGGAGAAAGATAACAAGGAAAAAATACTTTTAAAGTTACATCACCAATGACATGCTTTAACATTCCTTGCACTTTGAAAGATTTACATGTTAACGACTGAGTAATGTTTAGTTGCCTGAATCAAAAAATCCTCACAGAACAGATATTTCTATGACAAAGCCAAAAGACAGCCTTCTTTCCAGCCTTCCGCCCAACTCCAAAATTTTGACTTTCCTTTTGCAGTTACCTGCCTCAGGGTAACTCCCCGAAGTGCCAGGAACTCCTATGAAGTGCCAGGCTTCCAGATCTTAAGTATCCATGCCTGTGCATCATGGCTATTAGTTTCTGCTATCAAAACTTCAGATAAAATATGGTGACCACACAGGCATCAGGGCAACTTGCAACTTTTCTAGTTTAGTCTGATGGCTTCGCTTGTAATTATTTGTTTTTTGAAATTCTTTCTCTTGCTTTCATTTTTGGCTCTAATACTGTTCTCAGAAGTGAGTATTAGAAGGTATTGAATTGCAACATAGGTTTACTTGTTCTTAAATAAATATGGAGAAAAGCCTGAAAACCATCCCGATTTAATAAATCTTCCCTTCACTATCCAAATATACTTTTGGTTCTAACCTACATGGTAAGACAGTATCTGCTACTGTTAACTTAAACAGCTACTCATACTTGAGGTATGGAGGACTTACTTATAACATCATTTGAATACCCTGATGCATATCCTCTTGCATACAAAAACCAATTCAATTATATTCAGGTACCAAGAAACTTCTTATGTACTGATCCTGATTTCACCCTCTGTAACAAACAGCTCATCATTTCAAGAATCACTGAAGGATCTTCACACAGGGAAGTCTCTCACACTTTTAAGAACCACTTTTCTTATTCTCATAAAATATTGAATGGATTGAACCACAACTTTGAATTGAATGGATTGAACCACAACTTAGACCACTCCTGTGGTTTTGAGCATGATAAAAGAAATCCATCATATGCTTGTGTAAAAATAAAGTGTCACCAGAAGAGCACTGGAGTTGTAGGATCACATTAAATGCTACACAACTGTGTATGAAGGTCCTTATATATGCTATGGCAGTTGGAATTGTATTAAGAGTACATAATAAGTAAACAAAAACACACTGTCCACATGGGCTTTTCTACAGCAGATAAACCGAGATGTTTTCACACCCTTTTCCCCCCAAAATCTTTCTCACACACAACAAATTCCAACTCAGAGAAAGGAAGCTTTCCTCTCATCCACTTTGAAAATAGCATATGCCCAAATCATATTTTCTAGAAGCCTTTTTATAATCAAGGTTGATTGAACAACTGAACACTGCACTGCCATAGTTGTCTGATGAGTTGGGAAAATTACACTGCCCTTTTGCTTTCCTGCTTTCTTGTGCGCAGAATATGTAATTCCTGGTCTCACCACGAAATGGCACCTGGAAATATTGCAATTGCTGCCTATCAAAAAGTGGTCTTTCCGCGGTGTGTTGCAAAGAAGTTCACTGGGAATTTAAACCAATTTTCCTTGACTTATGTGCTCCAGAAGTATTTTTGTTTGCCACTGGTTATGCTGAGTTGCTACATTTCAAGATCAGACACCCGTGCGTAACAGCAGTGCAGGCAGCTGGTGCACATTCCACAGCTGTGTTCCTCCTGTCACATTTAGGGGATATCAGCAGAGGAGTACAGCTCAAGCCCATCAACCTCATAGTGTGGCAACATCCTTGTAAAAGCTCTGTTCTCAGATATTACACACAGAAGTGGCTAATTCCAAGACTGGAGGATGCTGAGTAAGGCAAGATGTATCAGCTGTCAGTCTGACTTTCTAGAATCTTCATAAACAGCGTAAATTTTCATAAACTTTTATTCCTGCCTTGCCTTGAAAGATGCCTTTCTAAATCTGTGTTTTGATCATCAAGGTGCAAGAGAAGATTGCCTCTCTCTAGGGGTGGGCATGGGGAAAAAGCTAGCATGTCTGCATCATTCCTTCTACAATCAGGAATACCTCTGGCCTTCTGAAAGCACAAGCATAAAAAACCGAAGTGGCATAGGATTTTTTTGGTCTGGGCTGCATCTAAGTTGCCATTGCCACAACTTTCTCACTAAGTTTCTTCTCTTCATTTGTTATTTTGCAATTGCAAAGACAAAACATCTGTCTTCAGTACTCTTGGCACAGGGTCATACACTAAGGTACAGTGTTCAACTGGTCATGTTCTTCTCATTACTCCAGCACCTACACCCACCATCAGGCTGACATCACAGCAACAGCAGATCTGGCAGCACTCCAGTGCGATGGGCCTTGTTGGAGATACTACTGCAACAAAAAACCAAGACAAAATGACACACACCAAGACACACCAGAGGAGATGATGGCTCATCCTACAGTCCACATTATTCCTATTTTCCTGTCAAATGGCTTTGATAAAGTTTGATTCTGAAAAAATAAAGTGTAGAAAATAGGCAAAGTGGACTACATAAGCTATCTTTACATAAACGTTGAAAACGAGGATGATGGAATTTATCTGTTGTGATGTGGTTTGAAAGCCATATGTGGCAATACTTTGGAAATTAAATGTGTGATTGTACTCAGGTAACCAACAAGTGCTCAGCAAGGCAAAGCCTCTCCTGCAGGATACTAAGGATAACAGGAAGGGCTTCTACAGGTATGTGGCAAGCAAAAGAAAGACTAGGGATACAAAAGATGTGGGAAGAAAATAGGAGACCTGGCTACCCTGGATGAAGAGGAGGCTGGGGTTCTCAGTGACTTCTGTGCCCCTGTCTTCACTGGCAAGTGCTCCAGCCATGCCACCCTGGTCAAGAAAGGCAGAAGCAGGGACAGTGAGGATGAAGATCCTGAGCCCCCTGTAGGAGAGGATCAGGTTTGAGACCATCTAAGGAACCTGAATGTGCACAAGTCAATGGAACCCAACGAGGTTCATCTGTGGGTCCTGAGGGAGTTGGCAGATGGAAGTTGCTGAGCCACTATCCATCATTTTTGAAAAATTGTGTGAGGTGAAGTCCTTGATGACTGGAAAAAGGGAAATATGATCCTCATTTTTAAAAAGGGAAAAGTGGAAGATATGGGGAACTACTGACCAGTCAGTTTCAGCTCTGTGCGAGGCAAGGTCACACAGCAGATTCTGCAGGAAACCATGCTAAGTTACCTGGCCAACAAAGTCATGACTGGTAAAAGCTAAAATGGTTTTACAAGGAGAAAATCATGCCTAACAAATTTGGTGACCTTCTATGACAGGGCTACAGTGTTAGTGGACAGGGGCAGAGCAACTGATATTGTCTACCTGGACTAAATGCAGTGTTTCATACTCCTGCATGACATTCTTGTCTCCAGATTGGAGAGAGGGATTTGATGGATGGACCACTCAGTGGATATTGAACTGGCTGGAGGCCACACACACAGAGTTTGGGTTAATGGCTCATTGTCCACATGGAGACCAGTGATACTCTTCAACATCCTTGTTTGTGACAAGGACCAAGCGGGACCAAATGCACCCTCAGCAAGTTCACTGATGACACCAGTCTGTGTGGTGCAGTTGACATGATGGAGGGAAGGGATAATGGCATCCAGAGGGACCTTGACAGATGGACTGAAGCAAACCTCATGAAGTTCAACAAAGCAAAGTGCAAGGTCCTACACTATTGGGACACACAAGACACATTATGGACTTTGGACCTGGTTAGCCTAAGAGATTTGATAACAAGATGCCTTGACAATAGCAAACAGAACTTTGAGGATTAAATCAAGACTGCAAGAAGATTACATCAGATGGACGTACTGATAAAAGAGAATTACATCAAACTCTGCAAGCAAGAGATGTAAAATGCAAGAGATATTGTAAAATGCATAAGTTTGTTTATGTGATGATTAACCCAATCCTGGTAGTGAAACATTACTATTCTTCCTAGAATAAGTATATAAGCAGTTATACTTCACAATAAATTTGGATTCTTTGACCATTTCACGGTGTTCCTGTCTCTCTTCATTGCCAACACTACACCATGGTCACTGCAATCCCAGACACACCAATGGGCTGGGCAGAGAAGTGATTGAGAGCAGCCCTGCTGAGAAAGACTCGTGGGTGACAGGTGATGAAAAACTTAACATGAGCCAGCTGTGTGTGCTCATAGCTCAGAAAGACAATCAAGTTCTGGGCTGCATCACAAGGAGCATGGCCAGGAGGTCAAAGGAGGTGATTCTGCCCCTCCACTTTGCTCATGTGAGATCCCAGCTGGAGTGCTGCATTCAGTTCTAGTGTCTCGAACATCAGGAGGACATGAAACTGTTGGAGCAAGTCCAGAGGAGGGTCATGAAGTTTGTAAGACGACTGAAGTACCTCCTTCATGAAGACAGGCTGAGAAAGCTGAGGCTGTTCAGCCTGGAGAAAAGAAAGTTGCATGGAGACCTCATGGCCAACTTTCAGTACCTGAAAGGGACCTACAAGAAAGTTTGGAGAGGGACCCTTCATCAAGAACTGCAATGATAAGACAAGAAGTAAAGAGTACAAATGAAAAAGGGGAAATTTAACTTAGATATTAGGAAGAAATTATATACTGTGAGTTGGGTGAGACACTGAACAGGTTGCCCAATCCTGATACTGTTCAAAGCTAGGCTGAATAAGGCCTTGAACAACTTTGTCTAGGGGGAGGTGTCCCTGCCCATGGCAGGGGAGATCAGGACTATGTAATCTTTGCATTCTAACCACTTAACATGCTGTGATTCTAGGATTCTAGAATGTTGTCAGTGGAAAAAAAGGGTGACTCCAGAGTATTTGCAGTTTTCCCACATTCAAAATAGCACACAATATTTCCAGACTTGTTCTATTTCTACACAGAAATTCAATGATACAGTATTTCATAACAGCATATATATTATAAGTAGCAATTTGTTACAAGCCTTCTGCACACCCAACACCTCCATCAGTTGCTATTAACTTTTTCCTTCTCCTATTACTTTTTCCTTTTTGGCTGTACCACTCACAGA